ATCGATGCACTCTGGGTTTCTGAAGCCTCTTGTGGCTTTCTGTTGCTTTCCAAGGACAGCACTCTCAGTTTCAGATTGATCAGGCATAAACATACAGTATAGATATTGTCAAAGGCTTTTGTGGCTGGAATCACTGGGTTGCTGTGAATATTTCAGGCTCTATGGCCATGTTCAGAAGCATTCTCTCCTGATGTTTCTCCCACATCTATGGCAGGCATCCTTAGAGGTTGTGAGGTCCGTTGGAAACTAGGCAAGTGGTGTTTATATATCTGTGGAATGTCCAGGGTGGGAGAAAGAACTCTTGTCTCCTTGAGGCAAGGGGGAATGTTGCAATTGGCCTCCTTGATTATCATTTAATGACCTTGTACCTTCAAAGCATTGCTGATTGCATTCGCTGACCAGTTAATCATGAAAATGAACAAAATCTGGCTACTGTATCATGTGTTTTAATTGTATAATTGTATAATGTGTTTTAATGATTTTTAATGTTTTAATGGTTTTTAGTGCTTTAATTCTACTTTGAATTCGTATGGTGCTTGTGTGAGGCCACCCTCAGTCCCCCTTCGGGGAAGAAGGGTGGGGTAAAAGTGCATGAAATAAATAAATAAATACATTTCAGTATTTTAAAAAATTCTAAAATCAGGAAAGTAAATAGAGGAATATTAAAAAAGCAGGGGAATTCTAGACGAGAATCAATCAGGGCCAGGTAATACCTCCCAACAAAGGATTCCCCAACAAAGGATTCCCCAATAATATCCACCATATAAGGGATAATCTGCAAATTTGTGCTGTTAATCTACCAATAACTGCATACATTGTCTTCATCACGTAGATTACCACTTGTTCGGCTGAGATCATCTTCACCCAAGACGGCCAAGAAGAACCGGAGACCCGGCCCTGGGTGCCGGCTTGTTTGCTCCACGGGCCCAGGGACCCAGGTTCTTTGGTGCGAACTGTCTGTCTTGACTGAGTAGTCGGAAGTGAATTTATTTATAGAAGACAAAATCTTTGCATTATTGTGCATTTTAGAACTACTTCAGCATGAAGTCACTTTAATCTAAGCACTTTAGATCCTGCTAGAACCCACATCATTATTCTAAGCACTCTAGATCTTGCTAGATCCTATACCTCTACTAAGTGGTCCAAAATCCCAGGTCAAGTGGTCATAGCCTGCACTTTATGTTCTGTTCTTGGGTTCCTGTTAAACTTTTAACATCAGCATACTACCTCTAGGTCAATGTTTACTTCACCTTTGCTGCTATTGATATCCCTCCAATTTCC